CAACTAGCGGACATAATAAAGTATCCTAAGTATCCATCCATCCCTGTGCCTTTATATTGTACTGATACAGATTGCACTCAGAGTTTCCCGCCAAAACAGATCACAGGGCAGGGACGTTGTCATGACGACAACCTCCAATTAGCGGTTACTCAAGGACAGCGAGGTTTTGGTTTGAAAACAAAACATCGTTAACAAGAGTTCCACGATCTCATACCTTCGCCAGATGACGAATTGTAAATGTTACTCATTTGCATGAACTACCATATCGGTTGATCACATTCTCCAGCCAATGACAGCTATTCTAGTACTTCGTCATTACCTCCGGGGAAGGAGATATCCTTCCGCGAGGAGGTTTTACTATTGTTCGAAACATTTCTGTCAGCAGCTGTTTCTCGCGATCGGCTGGACGGATTGGTCTGTTGTTCGGTATACGTATTGCTATTGGGCTGCAGATGATGCAGAACGTTTTTGTTTAATTGCATATGTGTTTATGGGCGTCGAAATTAAAGGTTTTTAAGTGCTCCGGACACCCCCGCCATGCTGAAAATGGAATTTACCATGTTGTTAAGGAATGGGGAGGTTGCAGTTTTGGGTCTTAGCATTCAAAAGGGGTCAAACAGAGGGGTGTCTGGTTCCGATAAAAATTTTGGGTGACGGCGTAGCAATGACGGCGCGGGATGACGGCGGGGGTAATGGCGCGGGTGACGGTGCAGGCATGGTGGTAAGGAAATAACCATGGTGCAGGCTGTCAGACACGTTAATCAACAGTCCATACCGAACCAACCGTCAGTAGCCATCAAACACATACAAACATATTACGCAACTTCCATACTACACACAAACAAATAACCTAAACCAATAGACCACAAAAAACCCGGAGGTTTGAAATCTACGATTTCCCTTGTTAGATTATGCAAATGAGATCCTGATCTGAATAAGTTATGTTTAATGATGTTCAATTTCACGTAACTTCCAGGTCCGGTTGGTAAGAAGTTACCGGCAGTTGTCATTATGAAGTTATAGCATTTTCTAACTAATTATGCAAATTAGGTACTCACTTTTGAGGAGGAGGAGGAGAATACGAAGAAAAACAATACATTCCGTCCATACCTATGGAGTGAAATATGAATATTTCACGCAAGTATTAAATCTTCAATTTCTTCTTGAGGTTGTAGTACATTCAAAAGGCCACCAGATGGGCATGGAGTCTACCTAGGAAATGAACGGTTGAAATTTTCTAGCAAAAAGTAAACAGTATCGCATGATGTCAGACATTGACATGCCCTTGACTCGCCGACTCCAATGTACCACCGGTATGCGATCTTCTGCACTCCACTTACAGCTCATACAATGGAAAGCAGATTCCGCGAGGCGCCAGATTGATTCTCGGAAAGTGGGAGTAGTAATACTATGTACAGTACTACTGCTCGTGTCTATCTTTGGCAGGGCTAGGGGAACTGGCCATGGATTCAGCCCGCTCAGCCTGGTTGTAGCCAAAATTGGTTGACACCTGTTCTTACCTTTGCACCATCACAGAGAAGCTACGAGAAGTCGAATTTATTTGATAGACTATAGTACTAGAGAGCTAGCTTGATCATGTGTATGTACGTAACGTAATGCATGTACGTACAATTAAATGTTCCATTGATTCAGTTGTTATCTGTGACCCATCAATATTAATCGACATGGACTGGCACATATACGAACATTGTCTTTCGAGTGTACTTTCGAGTTAACTTCAAGAAGCAATAGAGTTACATTCTTATGATTATCATGACATCCGTAAACGAAAGCATAGCTTGTCTGTTGGCCAACTTCTGTTGGATAACTTAGTGACAAGCAAATTCCTGCTTTGTCTGTGTCCTGCTCCGCAAATATGAGTTTTTCACATTCTAAGCACGTCTCATGGCAGACTGACAGGAAGTAAAGTCAAGTGACCTGCAGGCAGGTATGACTCCGTTACTTTTGGAAGAGGATAGGTCAAGAAAGGACACGAATGTTCGGAAACAGATACACATCAGTAGAGATTATGCATGTTCATGTAAAACATAACTTTTCAAAGTGGTGCCCAAAAAGCGCGCGCGCGCACACACAAACACAAACACTATCAATTCGGAAAAAGTTCACATGCCTGGTGTCGTCTTCCCAAGCCAGCAAGCAAATATAGAAACAAGCTGCTAGGGGACCCAATGTTATGTCACTTATCCAGAGCACAAGAGCTATCTACCATCCAAAATACGTAAATACGTGACCCTAGCATGGCCAGATCGCGAGATATCAAAACCGGACGTTTTGCTGCAGTACCATAACAAACCGCCAGGTGGCCCAAAATGTTATCACCTCATAAAAGACCAACATCTGCCGTGACAGAGCACGAAGATCAAGACGGCTGTCGCGCTATTCCAGTGTAAGAACGTGACACAATTCGTTTCCCAAAATAGCCGATCGGCAAGGATAACAGCAGCCGTTTTTCATCAGCTCATCAAGAGCTCAGACCTGCCTCCAGCCCGGAACGTCCCGTCAGGTTGTGTCAGGGTCCGCGTGCGTCAGCTGATAACGCGGCTGTGGAGTGACGGACGCGCCGAGGGTTATCTGTGGATGTCAAACACGGCGGGGATTACCACTGGTGTCGTCTGACCTGTTCCACTTCACCTCTTCTGCTGAGGAAATAGATGTCAAGAGGTGGAACGGATGGGAAAAAGAAATTCGACCCCTTAAATACCACGGTACATGCAATACACACGCTACACTAGAGTTCCACGATCCCATACCTTCGCCAAATGATGCTAACCTTTGCGACGCTCCTGCTGTTCGTGAGCAAGCTGCTAGAGGGCCTAAACTCACGTCACACTGCAGCTCAAAAGCTATCTACTATCCAAAGTTCGTGACTCTAGCATGTCCAGATCACAAGATATTGAAATAAAAAATTCCGCTGCAGTGCCTTAACAAGCCACAAGGGGACCCAAAATCTAGGGATCCTTTCTAGGTAGACTTAGCCAGCTACCAAATACCAAGACAATCCATCTAAGCCTTCTGGAGTTATCGTGTTGACACACAGGCACGCACACACGAAAGCATTGGCGAATTTAACTACATATCAGGTGTGAAGACGTATAACCTGGGCGTCTTTCCGTATCACGTTTTAAGGCGTGTTTCTGGGGTCCATAAATTTTATACGTGTGGCATTTGGAAGTTAATTGAAGGTGAACATCATAAAACGAACATATTCTAATCAGGCTATCATTTGGATAATCAATCAGAAAATGCTAAAATAGCATTCTTTGGTAAGAATATGATCGACTGATATAATTCATGCAAATGAGGATCTTATTTGGCAAATAAGAGATTCTTAGTGGACCAATTCCCATGGCCAATTTGTAGTCTATCCAGTCCCAGATTTAATTACTGTATGTGTCCCTTCAGCGGTACACGTCACTCGTGGCCAGAATCCCGTCCGACGACATTCCTGTGTTTGCAGCACCCCGGTCCCAGACACGCACTAGTCAACAACATTTACAAAATGGCAAGTCTCAACTACAAATAACTGGTTCTAAATCTTATAAACGAAGAAACCAGAACGAACAAAATACCGTATTTCATTCTACATTACACCAACGACAGATAACGGGTTGTCTGACTCATAAGGCGTGACGTTGTGTGCGATGAGCGCCCCACCTATTCATCCAGGGTCAATTGTTCCAGATAAATGAATACGTAACGAGGTGTTGTCAACACCGGCTATTATGTTCTGCCCGAGCTGACAGGTCGTTGGAAACGTTCGGCACGCACACTGTGGAGAGGCTAGGCTGTCGCTAAGGCCCACAACTCGCCATGTCGTTCGAGTTTCTGTATCATAACCGTCTGAAAAACGCCCCCAAGGTAAAGGACGAGTCGGCGAACCGGCAGATCAGGCTGTCTGAGAACTCGTACAAGCGGGGAGCCGGGGAGAACCGAGTCCGGCGGGCGAGCGAGAGAGAAGACGAGCCGAAAGATGTTCAAGATGGCGGCAGTGTCCTTTCCGATGACAACGATGCGGACCTGGAGCTGCCGCCGGAGGTTGTGCGGTACGAGACGCTGTCCAAGTCGTCCATCCGCCGCATGCAGGAGCTGCGGGAGGAGATCGAGCAGGGCAAGCGGTACCGGCGGGAGAACGAGCCCGACAGGAAGAAACAGCAGAACCCGTTAGAATGGGAGAAGGTAAAGGGCAAAAAGGGGTTTCGACGCACCGGTTCCGTGGAGTCTGAGGACAGTACGGCCACCAACTCAGACGATTTAAAAGACTTCGCAACCGTCCGAAGACAGTTAGAACAGAATTTCCAGCGGTCTCAGTCGGTGGGACCACCAAAGGGTAAGGAAAACGAGCCCAGCACAGGCCGCAGTGTGTCGTTTGACCCCAATGTCGATGTGCGTAAAATACCTAGGGATGATTATCCCAGCAGCAAGAATGATTACCATGATATGGTGGAGGAACTGAAGTCGATGGGTGGAAAGACTCTGGTGATCGAGCCTGAGAAAAGAGTCATTTCGACCAAGCAGCAGCCCCGAGCTGACGGAGGGATTGTGGTGTCCGAGACGCCTCGTTCAGCACCGGTTCGTAGGGAAGCGCCCACCACGTCCCACGGTAGTTACACCATCACCACACAGCGTCCACAGCCCGTCATGTCTCCTCCAACTTCACCCCGTCGTGCGACAGAACCACAACATTACAGTCGCGAAGTACGTCTGCCAGACTCGGGCCCAAGACATCAGACCAACACCGCGCGCCCTGCCGAGAGGAGCAGTAGCGGTGCAGGTGGTTCCTGGCGGCTGGTGCAGAACGGGGTGCAGGCCGACACAGGCGAGGCTATCCCACAGGGAGCACGCATAGAGTACGGGCCGGACGGTCGGATGTGGGTGTACGCTCGACAAGAACACGTGCAGTGGACAACCGTCCACCTGACCGACAACAACTCCCATCCGTACCCACCGGTACCGTTAAGTCCGAGACACCAGGACAACAACCAGAGACCGCCGGCGTCTGTATTGCATTCCTCCGGGTTGAACATAAAGGAGAGTGTACCACACCTGACCATACAGCAAAACGACGCTGAGCACAACTCTGTTACAGTCATGAAGAACGGCAACATCAAGGGAAGGGACGGGAAGACTGTCATACAGTCCGTACCGACCATGGCTAGCGGTGCACGGGCCGGGGTCTCACTGTCGGGGAGCACACGGGGCGGATATACCGACACACCGTCTCACTATCAGAACGGCCACGCCATCCCGACGGACCACACAGAAGAAAAGTCCATCAACTTTCAGTCAGAAACGGAAAATTCTGACCAGTACAGAGGCTACTTTGACCGAGACGACTCGATCTCGAGTTCCTACACCAGTGGTTACAGAAACGACGTGGAACTGGAAAGAGTTCGCCAAGGTATGGAAATGTCCATGGACTTTGTCGACGAGAGCGGTGGGCGTTCTCGAAAAATCCCCAGTGACGAGTTCGTGGGATGGTAGTCATCATGACAGTCCACGTTGTCGTGAACCCTTTCCCATTTGGTGTGGTGTAGTGCAGCAGGCAAACTTTTCATGATGGGGCCTTCGCGATGGAGGTACTACCACAGAGGCCTTTGCTTTTTGGCACTTTTTCTAAATGTACATCTTACTGACTGATACCGGTGTATTTTTACTTCTTTCCAAATCATCAAAACGATGTGTGGACCATTCCACTGTCAGGTTTTTTCTAGCGGAGTCTCGTGTACGAGTTATGGATTTGTACGCGTAAGAATTTAGACAATCAAGGACGAGGGAAAATTGAGCAAATCTTTACTCAAATCTGCCATTTCTCACCCACCAATTAACGACGGCTCCGTCTTTTGTACACGATATGATGTTGTACCACAATATAAATGTTGAACATAAAAACAAATATTGAACTTGAAACGTTTACTGTTGAGGACAAAAATACTTCTACAGGCTGTCCAAGTGAACTGAAACGGAACAAGTTTGTCGTGTTGCAGCGTCCACTCGGACTTGTTTCAAAGCAGTATCGGAGAACCGGCTGCAGCTGACAAGCGCCAAAGTTACCCACAGTTAACCGTTGAAAGCTGCTACAGCATTCGCGTATACGCACGAACCAGGTGAGGGACATAGAAGCTTGCAGAGACGCCTGTTCTTCACAGTTGTTCTTGCAATTAGCCGTCGAGCTTTTGCAATAGATTTATTATTATTATTATACCCCATTTCACACAAGGCGAAATGGACCGTAAAATAGATGCCGTGAATGAAATTTCTTTGTGGCATGAATTTTGCAAATTGTTCTTTGTGGCGCGAATTTTGTAACGTCTTCATTCTGGCTGGTTCTGCTTGACTCCTGCTGATTCGGAATAAGTGTGAAGAGGTCTTAAACAATATGTCCAACCTTATTATTGACTTTATGTTGAGTGTGAATGAAAAATATGTATTAGCGAGGCGCCATACCTGTGTCAGTTCGATGGTAAAATGTTTTTCCCACCAAAGTTGGACGTTATATGATGTTGTAAATACAGTGCAGGTGGGGGATGGGGTGAAACACGGTGGAACATTTCCGTCTCACCTGATATTGTCGCCGATTTCCTGTCGCGTGAGATGAGATAAAGAACGAAGAAAAACCCGGCAAATCCCACGAGACAGGGCTTATTGTTAACGGCCGCACAGTTCGGGTGCTACCGCCCACCTGGATGGGTTCTACACTGTAGGAACATTCCACTTCATACAATTCACCTGAAAATAAGGACTTCATGATAGCGAGCCGTAATACATCAAATCCACAGGAACAAAGAAGACGTTGTTTAGATAGAGCGACGTGGCACCCGAGCTTTACATCCAACACAATCATTAAGGCTTTCTATTCAGGGAGAAAAGAGTCATGAATTTTTGATGGGAGGCCAACATAGGGTGGAAACAAGCAGTGTGTGAAGGGCGAACTCACCGTGTATGTACACATGTCAACACTTCTAGTTCAATGTTGCAAATGTCGATTGTACAGGCGAGGAGAGTGTAGAGTGTTAATGATAAATTTCTATTTATTTACTTAGAGATTTATTGTGCCGTTATGCTATGTATATGCACCTTCATATTCTCAGGCTATGCATTAATAAAATCTATCATTATCAATAAAGTTTTCTATCTTCATCATTGGCAAACGTTTTCATTTGTTCTTACACACTTGTAACAATCTTAGTACATTGCAGTCCTCTGTATAGTGAGATTTCATCACAAAGATACTTCTGCATCATGAAACTTTCAAGTTAAAATTGCTTCCCAAGACAATGATTTTGATATCAAACAAAGACAGGTGTCAACTTAATGGCACAAAAATACTTCAAGACAGATCGTGATGATGATGGTCATAATTAGATGCTTATTGGTCATAATTAGATGATGGTCATAATTAGATCTTGGAATAATTTGCATGATTAATGAGAACGTGTACTATAATACCAACATGATCAATAACTGCAATTCAATCTTTGCGGCTGTTTAGCAGTTAAGTTAAAGGCCCATTTGCATAATTAATGAGAAAATGCTACAATAGACGTTTCTTCTTTTTTTGGACAACTTTTGTTATTTGGGTATAGAAGATCACTAGATAACTGATATAATTTATCTACTCAATGAGAAAATTAGAATATGCCTGTTGTAAACAGAGGATAACATCATTAGGCGAAGGTATGAGATTATGGCACTCTAGTTTCCTTAAAATTGATACCTCATTTGATATGATGACACTTCTGTGCCATGAGGCCCATGACTGATTCCATGGGCAGGTCACCCAAGTTTCTTCTGTCAACGTCTGTGTAGGATGGGGAACTTGCTCACTTTTAGTCATGGCCAATTTTTCTTGTATCAATTATGTTAGAAGCATGAACCTTTTGTTACCGGTATTTCCTAATATTGATGATTTTATTTCATGTTGATAGTTTAAGTTTGGGGTTTCCCACACAAGGCACATTAAAAAATGTCAGTAGATGACATGTTTTCCCTGGTGAAGTGAAATAAACAAGTGCATTTGCCCCAGACCTCGTGTGTTTGTTAGGAATGTGACAATTGCCATATCCCAGTACATCATTCCTCTACACAAAGAACAGGTTGGTACACAAGCCCCATGTTAGTGATTCATCTCTACATATATCACACCAGCTGACATTTACAACAGCACCATCATTCTTACAACAGGGAGACAACTGGGCCTCTTCCATCATCCATTCTTATCTTGACAATATACAGGGTATCTGACAAGTGACAGGAACATTTGATGTATGGACAATAATAATATATCTTTTGTTTCTAACCAGGCTATGTTTACTTGTATCTATGTCTTGGTTTGTTCTTCTGATTCTTCTTCCTCTGCCGCACAGCATTCTTGTGTCTCTTCTTGGACTCCTGTAAAATCAGAAAAAATTCAGACCAGGCATTGCAATATTTTGCAAATAAAATTGTTATAAAATATATTCTGGCTAGTTACACTGGGCCACCACTACCTCGGCTGAGTGAAGTTGGAAACTACTAAAGAACTGGTGATTATTCAACAATCATTAGGTAATCATTTAATAACAATCCACTACTTGGCTGATCCCTTGGATATTCACACTGTGTAATGACATGTAATTGATTGAATGTGACAACAAAGAACCTTGTTGCTTGATTACACTTTGCAGCCATCCATGCAAGTGTCATGACTTATTTGTTGGGCTTGAATTGTTTCTGGTTTTGGTCTGTGAATTGGGTAACAGACATCAATACCAGTGTTCTAGCCAGCATCCATCTTTCCACCATTTGACAGAATTTTGCCGCTCATGAGGAATCTTGCTTCAAAAAAAGACTTGTACTTGGTGCAAGCACGTCTAACCCCCGGAGGGGAAAAATGATGTTAAATTCGGTTTTAAAAAAATGAGGAAGAAAAATTTTGCCCAATCCATCATTTTTGACGGAGGAAAATTGATGTGTAAACATATGGAAAGAGATGTCATTAAACTAAATGTAGTCAACCAGCAAAATTTGCCCGCCCCTCAAAATGCATGAAATAGCATGTCACAGGGTTCAAAATTTTCCAAGGGGTGCATGCCACACACACCCTCCCAATCACCCCACTCCCCTTACCTCTAACAGCTCAGGTCGGACCTCCTCCCATGCCTGCCTGATGTCCTCCAGCTTGTCTGTCCTGTAAAACTGCAGGATACCTTCTGCAACAACAAACACATCATAATCTCTCGACCCATAGTTTGTCCAGGACAGACACAGGTACAAACACTGGATGTTTTCTTCACTAACAGCTGAGGTGTATAATCAAATTCTCACCTTTCAGCCTTGAATCATTCTCAGCAAAGAAAAAGGAATTTCTTTTCTTTGGTTCTTCCACTTTTTCAGGGATTTTCTTCCTGTAGGACAGACAAGAAACTTTTAAACTACAAGGTGTGTTGCCCTGACCACAATTTAATTTTTAATTTAAGACTGTTTGATATGAAATTCAGTGCATGAAATTCAGTGCAGTCAATGAGTTACTGTAGGTAAACAACCTCACTCAGTCATCACAATAACTTACAGAGCACAAATGATAGCAGAAAGAATAAAAACTACAATAATGACTAACAGGTCGTCCTGAGTCATCTCATCATCATCATCATCATCACTACTGTCGTATTGGAACACTTTTGGTTGCCATGGTGATTTCTTAGGTGCAGTCTGGGTAGATTCCGAGGCCATGTCAGCTTCTAAAACATGACAAGAAAACACAGAAAGATGTCAATCACAGATGGAATCAAATAATTCACAGGATAACTTTCACAGGAAAAGTCTTTCAACCAAAAATTGACATTGCTGTGGCTGAAGTTAGAAGATGTGGTCAAGCCAGGCTTACCAATGTCTTCTGTGGTCTCTGCAGAACTTGGCCCAAAAAATGAGAAGGTCTGTCCACCGGTGCCACTGAACGCTTCCTTCAGATCTGTGGCCACCTGGAAGTACTTGTCCTTTGTGATGTTTGGGACTGTCTCCTCTGGTGGGGCTTCCTCATGGATACCTGCACCACTACTGGCAATAATGATATCAGTTACTGCACAATAGCTATAGTGTACCTGTTTGAGTACAGTAAAAGAATTAGACACAATTCATTTATTTATTCAGCAAAATTTTCTACACACAAGTGGATGGGTGAAAGGACAGATGGTATTGCATTTTCTAGCTCACACCCTGTTTATGTACATAATCAAACATCATTGCACAATACATTATAACATAACAGCATAATTAAACAATGTCGAAGGAAAAATAATGACAGATGTTACCAAGCAGGTTAGGTGAAGAAGTGTTACATTACCTTTCTTCCACATCCTTTTGGCTTTCATTGTCAGGTATCTCAAACTGTTTGTGGTCCTCCCTTGTAGGGTCATAGCGCACTGCAGAAGGGTCCCTGAAAAAATGTCATCATATCAGTTTATATAACAGACATGAAAAGTAAGATTCCAAACTTCTGGGAAGTACATATTTCAAAATAACATGTGTACATTTGTAGTATTTTGTACTCTAACTGTAATTATATAATTACTAGAAAACTGAAAGATGAAATTTGTGATTCCAAACTTCTTGGAAGTACATAATGCATAACAACATGCGTACATTTGTACTCTAACTGTACTCAATAGAAAACTTACTTGAACTTGAGCTTGTCAATGTTCTTGCCCTTCTCTGTTGCCATGGCAGCCTTGGTGCCGACCACCCTTCTTAGAATTTCTAAGGATTTCTGTCTCTCAGCCTCCAGGTCTCCATCTGTCTCCTCAGTAGGGGTAGGCGTCTTCTTCATGTCTAACCAACAGTAAGGACACAACAATGATAAGCAAACCATATCCCTCTTTTGCAGCACAGATCAAATATAACTGTACGGCATACCTGTTCATGTACACTTCGCTCTCAATGATGATTACTTTTGGGTTTTGGTACAGATTTTGGCCCCCTGGTATTTTTGCTGAGTATTGCAGGGGTTTGTTACTTTCATTGTGAACAACATATTGTCATCATTATTTTGATTGTAATCTCATAGCATGTAAATTTGAGATCCTTTTTTTGCTCCTTTAAAAGGCCTCTATTGTACTTGTTTTTTTTTTCATATTTTTAAGCTTCTTGGATGTACCAAACTTAAAAACAATAATCACCCTGTTCCTCCTCATCACTGTCCTCCTCCAGGAACCTGTGGTCCATACGAAAACGGTCGTCCTGGCCGATCTGTGCCTGCAGCTCTAGCAGCTGGGGAAACACACAGCAGCAGGTTAGAGTAAGGAATGGTTTATTTGTGTCTTATTGTTGCAAGACACAACCTGGCAGGCCCTAATGCTGTGCCCTTGGGAAAGGCACTTTAAACCTCACTTGACTCAGGTGAAAATGAGTACCTAGCTTTGGTTACGGATGTGATCTGGGATGGGATGTAAAGCCAGATGTCTCGTGTTTGAAGAGAGCCACACCTTGAGCAAGTTAAACATCCTACCACAATTAGTGAAAAGAGCAGGGGTCCAAACCTTACAGTCTGGTCTCAGGTTTGACGCGTACCTTCTCTCCAGTTTTTCCTTCAAACTGGGGCTTGATCTGGAACCTTTGATCATCACTGTCTTCACTCCCGCTGTCACTGTCTTCTTCACTGTCAGACTCAAACAGACCCATCTGGGATGTCTTCTCCTCTGCCTGGAAAAGACAATTTGACATATTGCCACATCAGTAGAGATGCCAGCTGCAGGTCTCTTTATAGAGTCCTGATAATTAAAGTTGTGGACTAGAATTTCTTTCAGAGTTTTTGTGAATTTTTTTGCTTTTTCTAAAACTAATTTCCATATCATACCTCTCTACACAATTCCCCACCTCCCTGTGTCTGATCTTTTGTGGTCTGTACTAAGGCATCCCCACACACACACCCACACCCTGGTGTAACCAAACATTAGCCAACCTCACTGAACACCAGCCAACCACTGCTAACCTTGCTCCTGGCATACTTCTAACTATGCTTGGAAGGGGGTGTTGGGAAGGCCATATTCGGCTATGTGTGACAGGGATGGGGATGTTTAACCCAAACCATTACCTTATCAGGCTGAGTTGTGCTGGACCAGTCCTCCTCCCTCACCTCTGTACCATCCTTACTGTCTTCATCCTCAGAGTCAAACACTGTGTGCTTACCAGCTGTACTGGACACCTAGGAAAAAAAAATCAGAATTACAATAAGTGGCATGAAACATCTTCAATGCAAAAACAATGCTCCTCTACATTCTACTTGTTCACAATCTGGAACAATTCATAATTTCTAGCGTTTTATTAATATGAGGCCACACCACTTTGATTTGCTGGATTTTACAGATCATTTTAGAAAAATTATGAAGAAATTGGGAAAAAAAACAGAGGCCTAGGCATAAAAATTAAGCTTTGGGCATAAGTTGAGGGAAATTTGAAACTTGTTATGGTGTCTTAATGTCTTTTGTATTGCAAGTATGATAATATTGGTAATGTCATGACATTGCTGTGAATTATTACATTCACAATGAGAATACACATGAGACATGTGATTGTGAGACTTACCATTGTTGACAAGGCCTTACTGATAAGAGCCTGTTTGGACTGTCCTTGCAGTTGTCTCTGTCGGAGGGACTCTAGACGTTGTTCATTGGCAACTGCACTAGACTTCAACTTCTGTCCGTCCGCAGGTCCTTTTCTTATGTCCATTGTAGAGGTGCTTGACATATCACCAGATACAACCCCATTATTTGCACTCTCTTCTAACAGGTTTAGGTCTTCAGTTGAAGCGGTCCCATTTGGAGATTTGCTGGGTTTCACAGGTGAGACAATTTTGTCTTCTATTTCTGGACCTGAACTGTCTTCAGAACTGCTTTCATTGCCAGTTTCATTTTCTTCAACACTGTCAGGTTCTGACAGACTTTCCCCAGTACTGTCTGAGTCAGGGCTTTCATCATCTTCCAACTCATCATTGTGATCATCATCATCTTCATCATCATCATCATCACCTTCATCACCAGTAACATCATCGGCACCATCAACAACATGGTCATCATCATCAATGTCATCAACATCCTCTTCCTCACCATCATCAATATTATCAATATCATCATCATCATCAATGTCATTACCATCAACATCCTCATTGTCATCATCAATGTCATTACCATCAACACCATCATCAAAGTCCTCCTCCTCCTCATCATCATCTGTGTTGTTACTATCACCAACATCTTCCTCCTCCTCATCATCATCAATGTCATTACCATCATCTT